GGCAGCCCATTCTGGCTGGCATGGCGGAGCAGCTTCCGGGTCGCCCTAAGCGTCCAGGTGCTCCCGCAGAGTCAGGAGCCAGCCAGAACGGCCTCTCCTGGCCAGGTGCCCCCAGGCATTCAGCTCCAGCCCCGGTGGGATGCCAGGAGCGCTGCTCCGAAGCATCAGAAAGGGGAGAGCAGGAGTGGAAGCAACCCGTTTCCACCTGGGTCTCCACTGCAGAGGAAGCAGGACCAGCGCCCGAAGTTCCCCAGCCTTGGCTGCTCAGCAAATGGGGAAGAGCTGGTTGTGATCTCAACTGCATTTGACACATCCCTGCAAGGACACTTCAAAGCTACGCCCCGTCCCACTAAACTTGCAGAGTTCTCTGAGCGGGCCGACAATCCTGCAGACAGGGCGACCCAGTGGACGTTGTTTACTGCGGCTTCCAAAGGGCTTCTGGCAAAGGGCCTCCCTCCCGGTCCCTCAGGCCTGGAGGCCTCCTAGCTCGGCCTCTGACCTGAGCAAAGCCTTTGGTACAGAGATCAGCACCTCTGCGTCGCGGGAGAACCCCAGCGCCCCGCTAGCGCAGAAGCCAGCATCCACCTGGGCCGCGTGTGCCCCGCGGAAGTGGCGTCAGGCCTGGGGGCAAGGCCACACGGGGAGGCGCGTGCGCTGCAGGAGTGGCAGGCATCCTCTCGGAGAACTGCGCTTGCAGGTGAACAGCCTGTTCGCCCGCCTTCTTCGCTGCCTCCATGGGTGACTGACAAGGCGCCTGCCCAGGGCGGGTCGGTGTGCAGCCCAAAGAGCGGGCGGGCGGGCTCCCTCCCGCCCTCCTGCGTGGAGCCGGCTCCCAGCAGAGGCTGCTGCTGGACGGCACTGCGCCTTACCAGGCAGGCCACGCCAGCCGCGCGCAGTGAAGGGAGCGTGGCCCTGCTGATGCCGGTGCCGCTGGTGCTCAGCTGGAACCAGAGGGCAGCGGACGGCCCTCCTCCAAGGCACGACTGGGCTGGAGGGGTCCCGCCGACCCCGGTAGGAGGGGGCAGCACGCCTCCAGTCCGGTGAAGCCGGTGCCACAGAGGCTGCTGCTGCAGGAGGCGCAGGCGCCAGTCAGTACTGGTGGATCAGTGGGGCAGTGGGGGGATGCGAGCCCTGGGGATGCTGGGAACTGCTCAGAGGGCCCGCCAGCACTCCTCACACTTGTGCCGGTGGGGGTGCCCTTTCCCATTCCATTGCCCTCGGCACAGTTGGAGATCTTCGGCTCATTCTGACCTCTTTCTCACCAAGGAAACCACAGAATCCTGGAAAAGTAGCCTCGGGAGGGGCCAAGGCGCCTGTGGGGTCCAGTCCCTGCTCAGGGCAGGACTCTGCTGAGACAGACCCAGTGCCAGGGGGTCCACTCGGCCCATGGGGGAAGCGGGAACAGCATGCGAAGGAGGCAGGTCTTGCCTCCGACGGAAAGGGCACCACCAAAGACAGGCTGGCAAGGGTTCAGAGGAGCACAGCAGGGGCGCCCCGGGAACAGGAGATGGGGCCTTGTGAGGCGCGATCGAGAGAACCGGGCACGTTCCGCCTCAAGGAGAGAAGACAGACTCTGGGAGAAAGGCGAGCACGCTGCAAGTACTTGCAGCGTGGTCACAGAGAGGAAGGTCGGGCTGTCTTCTCCATCATCCCAGAGTGCAGACACGGAATAACGGGCCCAAGTCACAGGAAGCCGGGTTCTGGCCAGATGTCAGGAAGAACGTCTTGAGTGTCGCAGCAGCATGACATGGAACCCATGACCTGGAGAGGAGGTGGGCTGGAGGTGGGCATTCCCGGAAGGCCTGATCTGAAGTCCTGCCCGGAGCAGAGGGCTGGGCCCCACGGTCTTCCTAGCCCCTTCCAACTCTACTCTTCCAGGCTCCCAGGACAGGGCCACCCTAAATGTCTCCAGGACAGGCTTCCTGGGGTTTGCATCTTCTTCCTTTTGCACATCCGGACTGGGGCCATGGTCAGGGGAGAGGAGACCGTGCCTTCTCCTGAGTTGCATTCCAGCAAAAACCTGCCATGCCCGGAAGCTGCCGCAGCCCTGGATGGGAACCCCGGTCCCGAGCGCAGGGCAGTGGCACCCTCAGGCACAGCACACCCAAGCGGCTGCCCAGTGAGTACAGCCACCCCACAGGGCCCGGAGCGCTTGGCCTTCCCAAGATGATTTAGTGCTGAAATGAACTCCTGCAACATTTCACAATTCACATTCCGTGTCTGAGCACTCAGATTTCCAGCCCAAACCCCTGGAATTCAGAACATGAATTTTGAATCTTTACACCAGAATTGGACCTTCGAGCATCTCATGTGGTCAGCCACATGACCACTTGAGAACGAGATCCCATCAAGTGGCATTTGCCGGGCACGATCGATCATCGGCCAGCAAGTGCCACACCAGCAAGCGCCACAGTATCCAGCAGAACGCAAAACTCTGGCAAATATTGACTTCTTCTGAGAAGACCGGGTTGACCCGCAGGCGCAGGAGCAACTGACTTCCAGCCCGGCAGCACGTGCCGCCACGGACTCGGCTGCACTTGGGCAGGCTGGCCACTCCGCGCTCCCGCGCGCGCCCGTCCAGCTGCCCAGCCTCGCTGGCGGGGCCCCTGCTGTGCGCACACGGCCCCGGATTCCGCCCCGACAGCATCCGCACTGGGAGCACATCTGGCCGGGAGCCCGGAGAGCCTTCGCCGCCGGTTAGTGCCAGCCGCGCAGGCTGGAGGGACCGAGGGCGGCCGCGGGACTGACTCGCGGGGAGACAGGCGCCTGCGCCCGCGGAGGATCCGGTCCTCTGGTTCCCGGGCCGTCCACGCCCGCCCCGCCCCAGCTCGCCGCCGTCGAGCTCGACACGGGTACGCGCCCCCCCACCACCCCCCGCCTGCCTGCCAGCCGATGTCCGTGTTTGGCCGGGAGCCCCTCGCCGCCCGGACGGTCGGGCGCTTCCCGGCGCCGGGCGCGGGTTGGCCGGGCCGCGAGCCCCGTCCCTGCGGCTCAGCCGGCCTCTGGGCGAAGCCGCGGCGCCCCACGCTGCGGAGGGGCCGGGCGCACGGGCGCGCCTCCGCGAGGAGGGCCGCCTGGGGGCTGGCGGGGGGCCGCGCCGGGAGAGGTGGGGCGCGCACGGGCGCGGGTCTGCCCCGATGGCAGCCCCGCGCCTTTCCACCCGCGCGCCCCCTTGGGCAGCTGCGAAGCCGCCTCTCCGCGCATGCCGCGCCCGGGCGCTGCCCCCCTCGCCCGCCCCATCGCGTCGAACATGCCGGGGGCGCGGCAGGGCCGCGAAAGGTCCGGTGCCTTCTCTCGCCCTCCCGCTCGAAGCTGGCGCCGGAAGCCCCGCGGCCTCACCTGCCCCGCCGGGCTTCCCGGACGCGGCGCGCCGCCCGGACGAGAGGGTATCGCTCGGCGGTGGCGCAGCGGCGCGGGGGCGCCGGGGGCGAAGGAGGGGCCCGGCCCGGCGCGGGGCTCTGAGGGCGACGCGGGGCCTGACGCGGGCGCGGAGCCCTCCTGCTTTCTGGCCTGGGATGGGGCAGGCTCGGCCGCGCGCCCGGCCAGCCTGCCCGGGAGACCCGCGGGGCTGCCGGCGAGGCGGTAGCGCCCTCTCCCGGCGAGGCGGCGGGCGGCCCCGCTCTCCGGGGAGGGGAGCCTGGGGTGGCCGTGCGGAGGGAGCCTGGCGGGCCCCGCAGCAGCCCGAAGACGGAGGGCTTTCCCGTCCCGCGTGGGAAACCGTCGCCGCGGTCAGCCTCGCAGCCCGCCCCAGCACCGCCCCCTCTGTGGGGGCTTCCCGACCTGCCCGTGGGTCACCCCGACGCAGCCCCGGTGTGGGCCGGGTGGCCCGCGGTGTCCTTACACGCCCTGCCCAGCCCCCTTCCCATCCTTTCTCCCGCAGCTGAGCGAGCGTGGTGGTGTTTCCGCACGTAGACTGTGGCGGGAGAGCGCCCGGAGCACCCGAGGACCGTGGGTTGGGACCCCGCTGCCGCGCACCTGCCGGCCCCGGTGGGGCACGATCCCCGGCCACGTGCCGCTCCTTCGGCACCAGGGCACCTCCGCCCGCCGCGACCCGAGGGCCATGGCCTGGGCCATCCACGCGCTGGTCGGCCTGCTGGGCACCGGCTCCTGGGCGGCCATCAACGGCGTGTGGGTGGAGCTCCCGCTGCTGGTGCCCAGCGCCCCCGAGGGCTGGCTCCTGCCCTCCTGCCTGACCGTCATCATCCAGCTGGCCAACGTGGGGCCGCTGGCCGTCACGCTGGCACACCGCCTCCGCCCCGGGTGGCTAGACGAGGTGGGGGCCATCTACGCCCTCCTCGGCCTCGGGGGCCTGGCCTGCCTGCTGCTGGCCTTCCTCTGGCAGCAGACCAGCGTGGTGGGGGGCCACCCGCGCAGCACCGCCCTCCTCGCCCTGCTCTTCTTCCTGGCCCTGGTGGACTGCACCTCCTCCGTCACCTTCCTGCCCTACATGCGGCGGCTGCCGCCCCAGTTCCTCACCACCTACTTCATCGGGGAGGGGCTGAGCGGGCTGCTGCCGGGGCTGGTGGCCCTGGGGCAGGGCGCCGGTGCCCTCCGCTGCGTGAACGGCAGCCGGGCGGGCAATGACACCGGCACCAGCCTGCGGGCGGAGTATCTGGAGGCCCGCTTCTCCGTCCGCGCCTTCTTCCTCTTCCTCGGCGGCATGATGGCCACCTCCCTGGCCGCCTTCGTCCTCCTCAACGTCCTGCCGGCGGCCCGGCGGGAGCGAGCGCAGGAGGCACCCCAGGGGCAGCCACGCGTGGAGGGGGCGGGAGGCGCGCCCCCCGCAGTGGAAGAGCAGCCCATGATGGGGCCGGCCCCCGAGCCACGCAAGGGCCGCCCCCTCGGCCGCCCCACCTATTCCTGGCCCCAGATGGGCTTCGTGTTCAGCCTGCTGGCCTGGGTGAACGGCCTCACCAACGGCGTGCTCCCGGCGGTACAGTCCTACTCCTGCCTGCCCTACGGCGCCCCCGCCTACCACCTCTCTGCCACGCTGGCCGCCCTGGCCAACCCACTAGCCTGCTTTCTCGGCATGTTCCTGCCCAACAGGTACGGGTCGTGGGGCGTGTGCTCAGCGGGGGCTGGACAAGTGGGGCCGCTGGGCCCAGGCGGGGGCCTGCTGCAGGCGGGGGAGGGCGGCAGCACGGCGCACACTCCCCTCCCCAGCCACACACGGAATGGGGGCCACGGCTTGGCCACCACCCGGCGGGATCCACGGGGGTCGTCCTGCATTCTGCCCAGCCAGCCGGGTGGCCCTCGCGTGGCCAGGGCAGGTTTCGGCTGGACACGGGGGGAAGGCCCCACGGCCCAACATGCCTAAGGCAGGGTGGCGCCCCAGCCAGAGGTCTGCTGCTGGGGTCGGAGGGAACAGCGCCCGGCCGGGCAGGGCGGGCAGAGCCCCCAGGCAGGGTGCCCACAGTCATGCCCCCCACCCTTCTCCGCACAGGTCCCTGCTGCTCCTGGGCGGCCTGTCCTTGGCCGGGAGCCTCTTTGCTAGCTACCTGCTGGCCACGGCCGCGCTCAGCCCCTGTCCGCCGCTGGTGCACAGTCCCGTCGGGGCCGGCCTCGTTGTAAGTACGACCGGGCTGCGGGGAGGGACTGCCCCTTCCCGCCAGGCCCAGCCCCTGCCCTGCGGAGCCGCCCCAGGCCTGCTCTGCCCCATAGCGCTCTGCCGGAGGGCACGGGCCACACGGCCCCCCGGGGAGGGGGCTGGCTGTGACTGCCGGGCCGCGCCAGGTCCGCCCTGGGCCCTGGGCCATGAATGCCTCGGATCATCCGTGCGCACGAGGCCTGGGATCGTGACCTGGTGGTGCCCATCGTGCATTCAAGCCGGGTGGCCCAAGTTGGCCAGAGGGCGACGCGCCTGCCTCTGGCAGCCCCCCCTTGGGCCAGCCCGGGGGCCCTCTGGCAGGGGGTGGCACGGGCACGGCCGCGGGCGGCTGCAAGAGGCTCCAGCCAGGCCCAGGTGTCGCCCGTTCCCCCCGCAGGTCGTGTGCTGGGTCCTCTTCGTGGGCCTCCTCTCCTACGTAAAGCTGATGATCGGGGTGATCCTGCGCGACGAGGGCCACAGCGCCCTGGTCTGGTGCGGGGCCGTGGTGCAGCTCGGCTCCATGGTGGGGGCGCTCACCATGTTCCCGCTGGTCAGCGTCTACAGCCTGTTCCGCTCCGGGGACGCCTGCAACACCCGCTGCCCCGGCTAGCGGGCGCCCACAGAGGCCCGGCTGAGGCCCGCCTGCCCGGCCTGGGCCAGCTGGCGCTGGGCACAGGGCCCCCCGAAGTCCCGCTGGGGGTCCCCCCCACTGCCTCTGCTCAGGAGCAGCAAAGCAGGCCTGCTGCAGCGTCCTGGGTACATGCATGGCCGTGCCGACCCCCGCACACGACCCGCGAGTCCGGCTTGCGGCGGGGCAGGCCTTGCCCGATGGGAGGTGGCCCCGGGGCCAGAGCCGGGAAGCCCGTTGCCAGTGTGGCCCAGAATTTGGCTCCCCAGGGTGGCCCCCGGGGCGCCGTTGGGAAGCCCCGTGCAGGCACGGCCGTGGCCACCGTCCCCAGTGGCTTTCCTCCAGTGCCCAAAGGCGGGTTCGTCCCTCGAGGCTGCGGGCCATCGGCCACCTGCTCCTCCAGGGACCTGTCCCACCCACATCGAAGCCTCCCAGACGGGTGGCCATCACCACAGTCCAAATACATGTGGGGTGAGGAAGCCGTTCCTTTTGTGCGCCCCGGATCCCCCACCACTCAGTTCTACGGGGTGGCCCTCTGGATTCTCACCTTGCGAGAGGCGAGCACCCCAGTCCCATCGCTGTTTCCACCCCGTGCAGGCAGCCGCAGGCCTCTGCCGTGTTTCCCCCACTTGCTGCTTTCTGACGCCAACAAGCCCCAGATGTTGCAAGCTGCCCACCGACCCCTGGTGCTTTTGCCTGGTGTGTTTCTGCACCAGCTCTACAAAACCCTTCCGGACCATATGTACATGCTACCCCTTCCGGTTCGGGAAAGCCCCAGAGCCACCTCCTCTGGCAATCCTCCAGCTGCACCGTGGGACCGGGGCCGCTGGCGCATGGATGCCTCCCCTGTGGCGACGCCTCTCCTGGGCTCGGGGGCAGCCCGGGCTCCGGTGCCTCCGGGAAGCAGCTTTCTTCCAGGTGGGCCCCTCGTTGATCGGCCCCAGGTTTTAGGGCTACTCGGTTGCAATAGGGTTTCATTTTAACCCATTTCGGTGTTGAACATGGTACCTAAAATAAAAGAATGCCTCGCAGTGTGTTCACTATATACAAGGGAGCTGAACTCGCTCGGAAAACTCAGGCGGACCAAGCGAGGACGAGCCCCAAGGAGGGGCACAACGCCTCCCACGTGGCCACCTGCACCCCTCTCCGCGGAAGCCTCAGCCGCTGACCCGTTCCACCAGGTGTGCCACGTGCCCGGAGCATGGGGTGCCGTTCAGCCGCAGCCCGGATCTCCCGGTACGGCCTGGAGGTGCGCGGAAGCCCCCCTGCTCCGGCTGCCTCCAGCCCGAAGGATCGTGGGGCGGCTGCCTCCTCGTCGCCGCAGGGGGAGGGGGCGGCGCTGTGCACTGCCACACGGGGCATGTGCCTGGTGGGAGCCCGATGTGCCCGCCTTCCGGCAGCCCCCCAGCCCACAGCCCTCCAGCCCAGCCAGCCCTCAGGGGCGGGGCGAGTGGCCAAGAAGCTGGCGGTGGGTCCGAAGCACCAGGCAAGGCGCTGGGAGGTGCCCTGGGACGCTGTACTCCTCGCCATAAGTATGGGACTCGGCAGCGCACTGCCTGGGGATGATGGGATGATGGGAGTTGGGTCACCACAACTTGAGGGCACCGGGTCCGGGGAGCCGAGACTCAGGTCTGAGCGGCTTCTCCGTTCAGTTCTACAGAGAGGAGTCAGGCAGCAGGAGACCTTCTGCCACCGGGTGCCCCCCCCCCACACGCACTCCAGGAACAACAGCCTCCGAGATGGGATGGGGGGGTCAGCGTGCACGCTGCTGCAGAGGGGCAGCCCCCTCTGTGGGGCGCCAGGCCCCGCTCCGAGACCTCGGCTGTGCCTGGGCAGGGGGCCGGCTCTGCCCGCTGGTGGGGCTGCCAGGGAGGGGGGCGCTCGAGGCACTTGGTGCCCCGGGCAGCTGCGCCCCCCTTCCCAGAAGGCCCTCCCAGCCGGCCGCCTCGTGAGCCAGCGTCAGTCATGCCGAGGCGGCTCCACAGCGGCCCCGTCCGTCCCGGAGGGCTCCCCGCTCACGTGGGCCTCCCCAGAGGCTGAGGGGCTCTCCGCCGACCGCCTCTGCACCACACGTGCTCCACAGACCAGCCTTCCCGGGCCGCCTGACTGCGTGCCCCTCACGCTCGGCCCGTGCTGCTTGCCGCTGGGCAGAGGAGGCAGCCGGCCTGCCCGCTGGCCCTCCCTTCCCACGCCGCCGGGGCCACAGGCACCTCCGCCCCGCGGGACCTTCGGGCGTCCGGCCAGCCCGCCATGCATGAGAGGGGCTGCGTGGAGGGGCTCTGGGCACAAAGGAGGGCCGGTGGCTGGGGCCGCGCGCTTGCACTCCCCCAGGGGGCTCTGGGACCCCCGCGCTCCCGCCCAGAGGCCCAGGGCCAACCTTGCCCAGCAATCTGCTGAGCCAGCCTCCCGGGACCCTTTCTTTCATCGGGGAACGAAAGACAAAAGCGCATTGAGCCTGCCTGGACCGCGGCAAAGAGCCCCTTGTTCCACCTGGCCGGCAAGGTGGGAGAGGAATGTGGGCGGAGCGGCTGCTGCCCCTCGGAGGAGAGTCCCACCACACACTGCCCGCTCCCTCCTGGGCACGGGCGCAGGGGAAGGAAGCAGGCTGGACCTCCTGGGCCACCCGCAGGGCCCCCGTGGGGCGACATGCCCAGCCAGAAGCCAACGCCCCACAGGGCCGTGAGGCTTGCAGAGGGCTGAGCGGGGGCTCTGGGCTCGGCCTGCTGGACGCCCTTGAGTCAGAGAGGCGGCTGCCTGCCTTTGAGGAGCAGGACCCGGGGGTCCCCCTCCCCACCCAGCCCTAACTGTCTGCAGGACAGGCTGCGCCCCCCTTCCAGGTCTGAGGACTACAGGAAAGAGGGCCCCCGCCCAGGCCCCACCCACCGCAGGCACCCATCAGGCCCCGCAGTCCCCTGCCCCAGACGATCAGGCAAAGCAGTGGAACCCGCGGCCCTCCGCCACCCCAGGGCTGCAGCGCGTGCTGGGGGCAGGCCCCTCCGTGCCGCGGCCCCGAGAAGAGGGCAGGCTGAACGCGGGGGCCGCTCCATCGCCAGCCCTGTCCGCACATTCTGCGGCCCCGCCAGAGGCACGGCAAGCCTTGGGGGTCTTGCCTGCCCATGGAAGATCAGGGCACCCCAACGTTACTGCGCACATCACCACTTCTCACGGAGAAGACAGTCGTGCTGGGGAAGGCAGCAGGCGGAGGGTCAGGTGCGAGGGAGGCCTGAGCTGGCAGGAGCCGCGGGGCGCGGAGGGAGACACCTCGAGAAAGGACGGCGGGCCCCGCTGCTGCGGAGGAGGCAGCTGAGCTGGGGGGGATTCGGAGCCAGGCGGCAGGCGGCATCGGCGCCCCGCTCATCAGAGAGGGTGGGCGGGCACCGGGTCCCCGGCCCACCGTGCCACTCGTTGGAAGCCAGCCCTGCCCCCCAGGACACAGGCCTGCAGGCGACCCTCCTGGAAGAAGGGAGCCCGGGGGGCCGATCTCGGCCCGTCTCCAGCCTCGGCTCGTCCTTTCGCACCAGGTGTGTCACCCGCCCGCCTACAGGGCTGGGACGTCTCCCTCAGCCGCAGGCAGCCCTTCTGTGGACCCTCCGCCACCCCGGCCTGGATCAACCGGAAAGCAAGCAGGCAAACAAACAACTCTTTCCGCACTTCAGCTCTCCGCTCTGCAACATGTCCCCACACTTCACAAAACGCGTGTGTGTGTACGAATGTGGAACTCGGGATGCCCCAGGGAGGTGAGCTGTGTTCTGGCTGCCACAAGGGGCTCTGATGCACCTTCTCGAGGGAGGGGCAGGGAGCAGCCCTGCAGCCCATGGTTCCCTCGGAGCACCCACGCCCGGCTGCGCACCGGCCTCTCAGCCTGTGGCTGGCCTGATCGACTGGTGCAGCCCCCCCGCTCCCCCCCAGCGCACAGAGCCAGGTGCCGAACCCTGTTTGCCGCTGGCCCGACTGGAGCGGCTCCTGGGAGCCGGTACACATGGCTGCAGGCGCGAGCTGATCCAGGGAAGGCTTTACGAGCAGATGGGGAGCCCGGCGGCCGCTTTCATGCAACCACGGCCTGGTTGCGGGCCAGCTGCTCAGTGGGGGCCCGTGCAGTGTTCCGCAGGTGGGGGGGCTGAAGTCAAGGGGTGGGGAGGGAGGGCCCCGGCTCCTCCTCCTTGCAGCTTCCCATCTAGGCAGGGCAGGGCAGCCCCCTCCAAGCCATTTTGCCCGTTTCTTGCAGATTCTGCTCCTGGCAGCTGCGTGCGGCTCGTTCCGAGGCTCCCCCTCCCCGCCCAGGCCGTTCCAGCACCAACATTAAAGGGCTTGGCAAGGAGGCGGCAGGCTGAGCAACGGAGACCGGGCGGTGGGCAAACACGGGCTGCGGGGGCAGCATGCCCAGCAGTCCTGCTCCCGGGGAGGATGAGCTGTGGGGCTCTGCGGGCTCAGCCCTTGGCCTGCAGATCCTGCCACCCCCAGAACTTCACGAAGCAAAGCAGGCCCTTCAGTGGCCCAGCCCACGTCTATGGGCAAGCCAGGGGGCCACAGGCCCGAGGACCAGCTCGGGAGCTCGCCTGCCTGCCTGGGGAAGGGGGGCCTTTACCCGAAGAACTGCATGCTAAGGGCCTGGGGAGGGCTGAGCAGGGGAGCCGCCTCCAGGGAGGCCCGGGCTCGGCCGCCATCCCCAGAGGGAGCCCCGGGGAGCCCTGTTTCAGAAGCATGGTCCGTGCAGCAGCAGCAGCCTCCCCCCACCGAGGCCTTTGTCCCAGAGGAGCCACGCCGGATTGGACCGATCACTGGCCTGGCCGAGCCTTTGGCTCCCTGGGTGGTGGAACCGCTGCCCCAGGGAGGGGGGCCGACTGCCACAGCCCCCTCCTGCCCTCCTGCCCAGGCCTGCTCCCTCTGAGACCGAAGGGGCCACGGAGCCATCAGGAGCAGCAGCCCTTGGCAGCCCTCCCCGCCGTGCCCAGTCCCCTCCGGAGCCGAGCCAGCGGCCTGGC